ATGGAAAAAACTTCCCAAAATAAACACTTTCTTTCAAAGAACCAAAGAGGGAGAGGTGGACATTGCTGCTACAGCGAGTAAAGATTGCGACCAGGAGATGAATGGAAAGAGCGTGGGTGAGGAGGGGAGCCGTGAAGCTCAAGCTAGCCAGATGGCTTGTTGTGCTAACATGTGGTGGTGCGCTGTCACCAATGGTTCCACTCAAGGTGCGCAGTCACTATTTTTCCGTGTGTGATGTGATCTTATACTACTGAGAATTGCATAATTGTATCTTCTTGGCCGATTTATGGAACTGTCGCCATATATTGAACCTTTATCAGGGTGTAAAAAATACTAAATGGTACTTGTGCATTGGTGCTATTCTACACATGTACACTGGAACTTGATGTGAACACTGACCAATTGCTGATTTGCTTTTGGTTTACAGACACAGACATCCCAAGTTCCAAAAACTCATTTCAGGGAGATGGTTATCAGATCATGTCCTGGCCCCTGTTATGGCCTCTGTATTGAACACATAATACTTAAAAGAAATTCTAATGATGATCTGTGCTGGAACAGACATGGTTACTGATGGGTCCTTTGGATCTATTTCATTCTTTTTCTTTTTTCTCTGTTTTACTAATTATTCAAAAACAATAAGGTGATAGCTTCAGTGATATTAAGATAGGATCCCAGTTTTCATCTGCTAAATGTTTTTTTTCTTCACAACAAAATAAAAAAAAAGTAGTTTTTACAGATGAATTTAAAAGTTTTTCTTGAGTTCTAATTCAAATTTTATAGAAAAGGGTAGTTTAACTTAAATTAAGTCAAAAATATGTAAAATTCCTAAATTATAAATGTATGTTGACCTCATAAGAAATATACTTTTTATTGAACCTAATTGAAAAGAAATTTCACTTCATGCAGCTCTCCTAATATATTTGAATCCCCTACCGCCACTGTTCCTCCCCTTCACTAGATGTGGGTATACTTTAGTAAATTCTGCTGTAAAATTAGTCCTATATTCCCGTTTTTTACTCGAGAATTCAACCTTTGCTGTTTCACAGGATGCACAGCTTTGAGTGGTAACTAGATGACTGTCAGAGAGTAACCCAGAGAAACCTATCTGGCTGATCCAATCAGCTCTGACAACCGGTCCCCTGGAACGCTGGTTGAACAGGGCATCACTTTGGACAGATACGCTGCACAGGTTTCACAAGCAACCTCCTCCCCACACCCCGCGCTCTCTTGTTAGAACTACTGCGCAATCGCAGTAGTTCTAATCCACTCATGGTGCACGAATTATTGCAAACACAGATTCGCAATGTCTAAAATCCTGGGATAATTTATCCGACTTGCGGGCATCCGTGAACAACTATCGATATCAGGGAGACTCCCAGAACTTCCAGGAGACTTGCAGACAACACTGGACACGGATCCCAGCTCTGAATCCAGCTGTGAGCCGAGCTCATTTACGACCCCTGAGTCCAAGCTTTTAAGCAACGTTTCCGCTAGCTGGAAGAAAAGAGAAGCTTTAAGGGAGGCACAGAGGGAGCTAAACCTCCCAGGACATGCCACGGTGACAGACTGCCAAACACAACCTGAGTCCACACAGAGGATGATTTCAAGAATCCAAGAACAACAATGTACCTTGACCAAGTTTCTGTTCACTGACCGCAAAGCTGCTGCCTTCAGGCAAGACCTGGATGTCTAACAATCCATGAAAAGGGCTCTCAGCCCTCTGCAGGACTTCACGGATGCGTTTTCAGCTGAGCAATATGTAAGCATATCTTACCCGAAACCCATTCTACATATTCTGATCACCTTGCTACTGGCTGAAGACCCAGAGGACACCGACCCTACCAAGTCACTGAAAGCTAAAATCCTAAGATACCTCAATGAAAAATGCTAAGTTACACAGGCCCTGCTGAACATCACAACGTTCCTTGATCCAAGTTTCAGAGCTTTTGAAAAATAAAATGCACTGATTCTTTTTCTTTTTTTTGTCGAGCTCCAATGGGTTTGTGAGGCAAATCTGAAAACTTTAATAATTTAGATATTTGTGTTGGTTTAATTAGTCCTAAATTCCAATGAGAGATTATTAAATTAGACTGAGAATAATTATTTAACTTGTGAGCAAAACATGGACTAAAACTGGACTAAAAAAAGCACCAGGTAAAGAGAAAACAAACCACTGGATGTGATCCTACACTTTTGAATTAAGCTAGCTGCTGTATTTTTTTATTAATTTACTCGATTGCTTAAAATCGTCCATAATTCACAAAGAGAATTATTCTAGTCCAGATGAGATAAGATTAAAAATTAAAATGAAATACCTCATAATGACAGCTCAGAAATGCCGATCTTTGTTCAATATCTGGCACAGTGAATAGATGGGCTGGTGCAAAAATACGGGCTGGATATGAATCTGGCATGTCCTTGTGTGTGAGCACCAAGGTTGTATTAAAAACACGTACTGGATTTTGATCACCATGGTATTTCATACATAAATAAGTGGAACGGAGATGAGTTGTAATGTCTGTCATCTTTTAGTGTGAGAAATTCGGAATATGGAGTGAGAGAGTGCGAAAACACAGAGATGGGTGAGTCTCACTCCCAATGGGTGAGAGTTGACAGTGCTGTTTTAAGTTTGCTTTTATCTGAAAAAATCTGTTTAATTGCTGGGTGCTAGTGGAGAATGAATAAATGCTCTTTTGATGAAGTTAAATCTTGTAATTATTGTCTAATATATAATTAACAGCAGAGCAGAATATTGTTAGTCCTACCAATATCTGACTTTTCCCCATGCATTTAAATACAACTTTATCTTTTTCAAACTTTTAGGCCTAGCTGGCTTGGCAGCCATTTAATCAGGTGATGTAACGGTTATGGTTTTAATCTATACTCTGGATTACCCATAATTCCAAGTCGTAGCGTAAAAAATAAAATACTCAAATACATTGCTCTTTAAGATCTCTATTGCGGTTTAAAACATTTTATAGGAGTGTATTTTTTGCCAACCATCTAATGAACTATACATAGTTATTAATATAGTAATTAAAACTACTGCTGTCTGCTTTGCTATTGGTGTCGTGTTTAAACGGCTCACCATCATATTGAAACCTGGCATGCGTTGGGGTATAAATAAGGTCCAGTCAATTGAATTAGGAACAGGTGGGTGTAAGAGAAATTTTTTGCACTATTACATCTGCAAAGATACGTCCTAGTCCACAATTGCGTAGGGGGGCTACCAGGTGTTCATGACGGGGCCCCTAAGAGGTCGGGAGCCCCTAAGCAACAGCAGACTCTGCTTGCTGATAGTTATGCCATTGATGGTGATACAGTTGACTGTGGCCTCACTGAGAGCATGATTGCAGTACTTTTACAAGGATCTTTCAAGAAGCAACAGAAATGTAATCAGTTCTTGTCCAAATAAAAGGACTCAGTGACATCAATCACTTTAGAACGCGTTGTTACACTTTGACTCGGTGTAAAAGGAATAAAACAGACAAACACAGGAGGGTAATTTTCGGTGGCTTTACTCAATGTTAACTTGTGTAGCGGCACCCCTTACTTCAGCATCATCCAGGTAAATGTATGAATGCAAGTTAAGTTGTTCTCCTACAAGGGAGTATTAGGGCCAGGGTAGCGATTTTTTAAATTTATTTTGAGAATATAGTTGTGACATTGCAAGAATAAAGTTGCAATATTACAAGAATGAAGTCAACAACCCGTTTCAGATAGAAAGCTTTGAGCTAACCAATATCATTTTAATGATATTAATAATAGTTTGTAGAGGTCATCAAAGTTCAGTAAACATCTGTTCATGCTAAAACTGTGAATTTCATATAAATTATAAGTTGCTAACCTGTGAATATGAGTAAATTTTTACTTTTGCTGCACAAAATAGCACAAATGTAGCATGACACGAGATTTATTTATTTTTGCAAATGTGAGCAGGACCGGGGGAGTGGTTGACCTCTGATGACCCCCGGAGAACATTTTTCTTTATATCTTTAGAATGAAAGGAGCACAAATGACAATTTTTCCACACAAACCAGCAAAAAGATAGCTGAGGTGATTGACACCAATTTTGTCTGATTTCATAAAAGTGTAGGGGGGGGCTGGTTGACCATTGATGAGCTCTAGAAACATTTCTTGATATCTTTAAAATGATAGCGGCACAAAGTGGCTTGAAAAGAAATTGATTTTCTCACCCTGATGTGGAGTATGTTAGTCTAGACCAGGGATTCCCAAAGTGTGGTGCTACTATGTGGTGCATGAGGTGATAAAACTGTAACGGCGGCAACAGTGTTTTCCCCCCACACTATAACAATGTTTCAATAAACAATTCCTATGTAAAAAGTTAAATCAACAGCTAAATTTTATAAATAAAATGTATTCCCATGTAAATCCATTTATTTAGAAGAAGTCTTCTAAATTATGTTTTACGCATTCTATTATATATGTGCACCTAGCTTATGGCCTCTACTTCATTCATTAAGCACTGATGCTTAATTGGCTGAAACTATGGAAACTGTCAGGCAGGGGAGACATCTGAGATTTTGTAGTCATTGCGACAAAAGGCATTAAATGAAAAAGCATTTGATCTATAAATATAATGTAAATTGGATAGAAACAAGATAACTACCTAGAATATTATAAAATGTTAGAAATCCCCTTCCACACACAGTAGGTTCTCTTATAGAAACTCATAGAAACTTGAGAGGGTTTGTTTGTTCAAATTCTTATGTAAAAAAATCATCCTAAAATCAATGACATTTTCAGCATCATGGAGAGGTATTGCGGTTTTGGTGATGTTTAGTTACATTTTTAAACTACAATATTTAACTTTATGTAGTATTATAGGCTATTATGTTAGTTTTCTGTGTACTTATTTTGGTTTTGCTTTCAAATGGTGTGATTCTTTATCCCCATGCCCAACAATTCACTTGACTGGCCAAGACTGGAAATGTAATGAGACAGAGACTGGATCCAAATAAACCAAGACAGGTTAGTGATGTTTTGAGTGGTTTATTGAAAGTGTTAATCTGATAATATGTGTGGGCAAAAAGGCTGCAGGTAGACAGGGGGGCAGATTGAGGGAGGAGACAGGCGGGCAGATTGAGGGAGGTTTACCAGTTAAATCCGGGACAGAGAGGCAGGCAGTTTAGCGGAGGTTTTCCGAGTCAGAGATCCAGAGAGAGGGGAGCATGCAGGGCGATCAGAACGACACAGAGATCCAGGGATCCAGAGGCAGAGCAGAGAGGGTAGGCAGAATCAAACAGGGGTCAGGCAGGCTCGGAGTCAGGAGGCAGATCGGGTCAGAAACAGATAGGCGGTCAGGTACTCTTTCAGATGCTTGACTATTCGTAGCCGGTTGGCTCGAGATAATCTGGCACAGAGGACTGATCTGATGGGGTTTTTAAAGTGCTGGAAACAGGTGACTCCGGTCAGAGCTGACTGCGGACGGGTGGAGCAGAGCAGGTGTATGGACTGAGTGACCAGGCCAGAATCAGTGCAGAAAGCATTACAGTAAAATGGCTTTTACCAGGAGAGCTGCAACCATTGTGAAAGCAGAAGACATTGTGATGTGTCAAACCCAAACAGTTGATGAAGGGATCATCTCAGCCTTCTGCACTTTTTTTGTCTTCAACATGGCTTGTCGTTGAGGACGTGGGTGAAGCCTTGACAGAGAAAGTTATTGAAAATCCTCCCTGTTATGGTGAGCTGTTAACTAGTCTTAGGGAAGTAATATTTAAATGTCAAATCTGTCATGGTGGGTCTAATACTTGCCCACATGCTGAAACACTCACAGAGAGATTGTGAAAGTTTGAAAGCTTATTTTCCTTTACTTAAAACAGAGAGACAGAAACTGGGTTATCTCAGCTTGGGGGTCCTGCGGCCAGGAATCCAGGTGCGACTGCACAAAGGAGAGAGTTATTAGGTGGGTTCAAGTGGAAAAAAGCGAAAGACTGATGCTCTGTTCTTACTTGAACTCACTGCTTGAGTTGGAGGGTGGTCTGAGGTTCCAGTTTGTAGAGCCCTTGGCTTGTTGAAATTGGACGAGTCGTTGGAGGGCGGACAGGTAAGTTTATGGTGGCACAGAGGACCAGCAGAGCAGACCGTCAACTGGAAATCTTGAAGTGGTTGGAGTTCAGAAGAGGTGTGTTGTGGAGCTCTCAGCGTCTCAAGAGGTTTTCTTCCAGGGCTGGAAGGACTTGAAAAATCCCAGAGGATAGGTTTCCTGCCAAAGATTCACAAGACAAAAGGGTAAGAGCATGAATTAACTAGAAAAGTTCAAAGAATGACTCAGCAAAAGCTCAGAGGGGCTAGAGTACCCAAAACAGGCAAACACTCTGGTGAAGAGGCGATGACAGTCAGGGGGCCCCAAGCAGGGGGGCCCCAAAAATGATTAACCAGGCCCTGGTCAGTCGTTTTTGTTGTTGTTGTTTTGTTTTTTTTACCATTAAATAAATTAAACAAGTGATATAAATGAATAAATGAATGAATATCAATTAATAAATGAAAAATTCAAGACAAAAAAAATTCTGATTTGTCCACAACTGCTCATGCGCATTCATCACTTCGCGACGGCAGCCGCGATGGCGCTGGCGGGTCGCGGTACGCGCACGTGCATTGACAATTCACGCCGCCGCGCACATCACGTTAATAAGATAGTCAAAGCCATGTCACAAAAAAGGATGTATCCCTCTGGTGCCGAAAAAAGAAAAGGAAAGAGTAAGAGAAAAAAGAGCAAGATAAAGGTATGTTTGCATGATTATTAATGGACCGGTATATTTTGTGCAGCAGCAGCACAAATTGAGCTCATGTCACTTAAGGGAACAGCTAGCTTGTCGTCTTAACAAATGTCGTGATATTTATCAGCCATCCATCACCAGAGTGAAATCCCCACCATTAACAGTGAAATATTACCCATTATTAATATACATTTATCTAGGTAGGTGTGTATTTCATGTGTTGATACATATCGGCGAGGGAGACCCAACACATGCTGGAGGGACTATGTTTCTCGGCTGACCTGGCCTGGGAACGCCTGCTTGGGATTCCCCCGTAAGAGAGGAACGTCTGGGTCTCGCTATTGAAGCTGCTACCGGACCCCGTATAGGCGGAGGTTAAATGGATGGATGGATAGATATCGGTTTAAGTTGAAGAAAACACAGACGCCAGCTTAGCTAGCATTGCTGTTTGTGTTAAAGTGAATCTACAGTACTACCTTAATAGACAAAGCACGTGCGCTCTCTGCTCTAAGATCTTTGGTGAGAGATGGTATTTATCTTTATTAGAAAACATACCAAAAATGATAATAGACTGCAGTTTTATTAATATGGTGGTGAGTGATGAAGCAGGGCTTTCCTCATATTTAGGCTGCAGTAGATCACCATGTTAAGTTTTCATCATATGGCAATTATGCCTTATTTGCCAATAGAATATGAATTGTTAGGTGAGGTGTGGAGTTTCTTGTGGTGCAAGATGTGGCTCTCATCAAATCAAATTCTGCTTAGGGCCCCCCAGATGCTCGGGCCGGCTCTGACTGGATACTCAAAAGAAAAACATGACAGAAAACAGAAACCTAACAAAGATAATATTTCACTCACTCTTTAACTTATTCAATAACTGAATGAGCGTTTTACTAAAACCCTGTCTCTTTAGAATGTCTTAAGTTTCAGATCCAGACGACCTCCATCATCAGGAGGACCTGTATCCAAAGAAAAGATAGGTATTTAACTCATTCAATAACTGAAGGAATGTTTTACTTAAACCCTGTCTGTTCTCTAGGTCTTTAGTCTCAGATCCAGAGGTCACCCATCATCCGGAGGACCAGCATCCACAGAAAAGATAAGTATTTCACTCACTTTGTAAAATATTCAATAACTAAATAAACTATTTACTAAAACCCTGTCTCTGTCTTCACTATATCTTAAGTTTCAAATATAGAGGACATCCAATGATCAAGAGGACCACCATCCACAGAAAAGATAAAAATTTCACCCACTTTTTAACTATTTCAATAACTAAAGGAACGTTTTACTAAAACCCTATCTTTTCACTAAGTCTTTAGTTTCAGATCACGAGGAATTAAGAATTTAGGAAGAACAGCATTCACATAAAAGATAAGTATTTTATTCTCACTTTAACTAATCAAATAACTAAAGGAACTATTTACTGAAACCCTGTCTCTATACTATGTCTTTAGTTTCAGTCGGACACAGTTATCCGTCATCAGGGTGACAGCAGGGGGCTCAGGATGCAGCCCTGAGGGGAGCCTGTGCTTAGGGTGATGACCTCAAGAGTTGTTGTGTCCAACCTGGACTGGCTGAGGTCTGTTGGTGAGGAAGTCTAGCAGCCAATTGTGGAGGGGGTTATTGAATCCCAGCTGTTCCTGTTTGCCCATCAGATGCTGTGGGATGATGGTGTGGAAAGCTGAACTGAAGTCCAGGAACAGCATCCGCACGTGGGTGTTCTTCTCCTCCAGGTGTACCAGGCTCAGGTGGAGAGCAGCAGAGATGGCGTCCTCAATGGAGCCGTTCCGTCGGTAGGCAAACTGGAACGGGTCGAATGTTGGCGGCAGACTGGAGACGATGTGTTCTTTGACAAGCCTTTCAAAGCACTTCGTCATGATTGAGCGACTCGCTGGTAATCATTTAGTGAGGTGACCTGAGGCTTCTCTGGGACCAGAATAATGGTGGCAGACTTTAAGATTGCTGGCACTATGGATTGGTCCAGCGAGCTGTTAAAAATGTCTGTGAGGACAGCACCCAGCTGATGTGCACACTTGTTATATACCCGCCCAGGTATATTATCAGGCCCTGGGGACTTCCTTGGATTGACTCTCCTCAGAGATTTCATTACTTCAGCTATGTCCAGGTTGAGTGTTTTTTCTCCCTGGTGTGAAACAGCTTTTACTGCTGGAGTGCTGTTTAGTGCTTCAAACCTTCCAAAGAAGTTGTTCAGTTAATTTAGGAAGTCAGTGTTTGCTGCAGCTACCGAAGGGGATTGTGTGTTCTAGTCCGTGATCATCTGAATGCCTTTCCACATCCTCTTGGTGTTACTGGCGTCGTGGAAAATATCCTGTATCTTCTGGCTGTGGTTCTGCTTCGCTGATCTGATGGCAAGGTTTAAATTGGCTTATATGCAGGGATAAGCATGACCGAGAGATGATCTGATGACACGAGGTGGGGGCTGCTCTGAATGCATTTTTCTTTTTTCAATGAATTTCTGTTCAGATTTATAGCTCAGAGATAGCCTGGTATAGAGTCTTCATGGTCTCTGCTGTATTAGTGCTGGGAGGCACATAAACAGCAGTGATGCTAACTACACTGAACTCTCTGGGTAGATAGAAAGGCCTGCAGTTAACAGTCAGAACTCGATGTCTGGAGAGCAGAAGTCAAATGGTTGGCAAATAAGTTTTAATGAAAGATTAATTGTAAAATCATACATTTATTATGAAGTTTGGGTCATAAATATTTTTGTTTCCTTTTGAAAGGTTTAGAAAATGTGACAAATTTAAACAGAGTGACCTTAATTAACTGAATTTAAATCTAAGGTATAGCTTTGCATATTTTATTATGCCTGAGGTTATGCTTATTAAGGTTGGTTAGATAATATAAAAAACTTCCATTAATATCTGATAAATATTTAACAAACTATTTCCTTAGTCATAATTTTTAATGAAAATTGACTTTTTGTTGCAAATTATCTCCTGGATGATCAATAAAACAGGAGCTTTTGGAGAAGAATTATTGATTTAATATGAACTGAGAGGCAAAAAAATTCTGTAAATTTTGGATGATTTACCGGGAATTGAATAATTATTCATTCAAATGGGACAGAGGCAGGATCAGCACTACATTTCTGCATTTTTTTATTAAAACATACAGCAAAGAATTGTGGGTAATTCACCAGAGAAATCTGCTTTGATGCGCACTTACCTAAAGTGCAGATGTAGGGCCCATAGGGGGCAGGGCCAAATACCGCTCTGAAGGATTGGGACACACTACACACTGGAATCCTCAAAAGAAACACAGAGTTAAAGAGTGCAGGTGACAGGAGCGTGGTTATTGCAACTGGACCTCTAACTGAAGAGGACCTGATTTCAGAACTCCAGTCTGAGATTTTTTTCCAGAAATAAACAGAACATTACAGTCACAGTTGGTCTGTTCGAGCAGAAGCAGCAGCAGATGGCATAGAAGTGTAGAGTGGGGTTTATTTCATGGTAGGGAAACACCTGCAGCTCCTCAGCTCTCACTCACAGCCTGCTGCTCTACAATCTGACGGGATCATGTCTCATAAATTAAATTAAATCTAAATCTTAGCTTGGAGTTTTGAATAAACAAAGCTGGATTCACTCACTTTCTTCCCATAAACTTCTTCACTGTGCAGCTCTGCTGTCTGGATAATTAGTGTCTGGACCAAGTCTGTGTTGAAGAGAAACTCCTGGACTTCTCTGCTCTCAGTCCTCTGAGTCTAAAAACTGATGTTACTCTGAAAGTATATTTAATTTTCAGCTCACAGATTAAAGATTAGCTACTATAACTTTATATGACTTCAGCATTTTCAATGATTAACCTACAGCAGCTTCCTGCTGCATATCAGACCATCAAAGAAGGTTTGAATCTCTGGTTCTGATGGTTAGAACACCTATAACTATTTCACCACAAACCAAAACTAATTATCATCTAAAAATATTCAACCAAATAAATTCAGAATAATCAACAGTTATCAGTTCTGAGAGCAAGTGTTTGGTTACTGTAAAGGAAACACAAACATATTTCTTTTATAGTAGATGCAACATTTCAAATGTTACTATTCTTGATTTATTGATGATCAAACAAAGTCAATCTAAGGGTGATTCTCTAACTACGGGCACTTTTATGTCCTTTGATCATATTTCATGAAAAAAAAGGGACTTTCACACCTTTATAGGTATCTTTACTATGAAACTGTTTTAGGACATTTGTTTTAGTAGTATGTGATGCCTTTTCACCTTTTTTCAGCCTCATTTACATGTAAATATTACCGTTTTGTGCTTGTCAAACACCCAGACTTTTGATTTTCAATGATAAAAATGAATAGTAAAAAAAAACATTTTTTCCAATGTTTTAAAATATCATTGAATAAAATATCAGTAAAATAATCAAACTATAATAGGAGTATTTAATGTCATACAACTGTGATTTTCTAAACCAATTGTAGTGTCCCACAATACAGTCGTAATTTCCACCACA